TCTCTCTCTCTCTCTCTCTCTCTCTCTCTCTTTTAAAAAAACCCAGTATTGCTGATAAATAATAAAGAAATAATTTTAAAATATAATTTTTTTCTGACACAATTGACTCAGCATTATTTTGACACCTAGAAATTTTACTTTTTACTCTGACCCATCACTCTGCTTCAATTTCTACTTATAATAATAAGATCATACCACAGAAGAATTGGAAGAGAACTTTTAATTCAGCCTACCCTTTCTCTGATTCCATACTTCCCCTTGCTCTTTCCTACTTGCTCTGTTTGAGGGGCAGTGACCTTAAAGTCTGCTGCATCCAATGAGAATCTGATGGTCTGTGGTGTTTGGGTAACTTTTTCCTGGAATTTAACAATACTTCACACTGGACAGGTGCTTAGTCAGCTTTTTTGGCATTTTTCACTTGGACTATTCCAGTCTCCCTGGTACCTAAACAACATAAAGATGTCACAAGAAAGGAAAACTACAGACCAATATTCCTTATGAATATATATGCAAAAATCCTCAACAAAATACCAGCAACATCAAAATGGATTGTACATCATGTCTAAGTGGTATTTATCCCCAATTCAAGGGGTTCATACATAAAAATCGATGCAACACACCAGAAGGACAAAAAGCCATAAAAAGGAATGAGCTTTGAATATGTGCTAAAACTTGGATTGTGTTAGGTGAAGGAAGCTCAGCTCACCCAAAAGGTCAGAGATTGTATGGTTCTGTTCATATGAAATGTCTGGTAGAGGCAATCCTTCAGTCCTATAAAGATGAAGGCAGATCAGTGGTTTCCAGGGACTTGTGGAAGGAGAGAATGAGGAGTAACTGCTATAGCTTTCTTTTGGGGGTGATTCGAGTGTTCTGGAAATAGTACTGTTGTTGCACAATCTTGTGACTGTACTAAACACTGCTGAATTGTATACTTTAAAATGATGAATTCTATGGTGTGAGAAATATATCCCAATAAAAAAGAACTGTATAAGGTGATAGCAAAGATTGCTATAGCACCTAGTACAACATTTAGAGCAAGCAGATACTCAAATAAATGAACTAATGAATGATAAGAACTGTAGGAAATCTTTTTCTAGACCACAAAAGAAGCCATTATTTGTTGAATAATAGGAGAAAAGTGAGCTCCAAGTGTCTTATCCCATGTAATCTCTAAGAAATTCTGTCTCAGCAGTTGCTTTGGTGAAGACTAAGTGCTCAGAGTTGGTTAAGTCTGGATTCTGTTTCCAACTCTTCCTCCTAAGTATGGCTTTCACTTTACTTTTCAGCATCAGTATGACAGCCTGTTCCACAGTGGCCGCCCTGGGAATGATGCCGCTCTGCCTTTACCTCTACACCTGGTCCTGGGATCTTGCGCAGAACCTCACCATTCCCTATCAGAACATAGGTCTGTACTGGGCTTGGGAAATGTAGCAGTCACGGTAATGGAGATAGTGCTAGGCATCGTTGTTTCTGCAGGGATTTTTATTTTTGTGTTATTTAATTCCATACATAACCTTACAACATAGATTCTATTACTAGTTTGAATTTCTAGATTTTTGAGGTTAAATTACTGGTAAGAACAGAACTGGAATTCTTTCTTTCTCCCTCCCTCCCTCCCTTGCTCCTTTCCTTCCTTCCTTTCTTCTCTCTCTCTCTCTCTCTCTCTCTCTCTCTCTCTCTCCCTCCCTCCCTCCCTCCCTCCCTCTCTCTTTCCCTTTTTGTGAGACAGGGCCTCACTAAGTTGCCAAGGCTGACTTGACCTTGCAATCTTCCTGCCTCAGCCTACTGAGTAGCTGAGATTATAGGTGTGAGCTACTGCCCCTGGCTTAGAGCTGGAATTCTAACTCAGGAATCCGACTGTAAAGTCCAAGCTCCTAACCCTTATGATGTGTTAGTCAACTTTTGTTATAAATAAACAGCAATGCACATATTCTCGTGAGGCCCCCTGGCTCCCCCCTGTGTCGATATCATGGCAGTTAGCAAAATGGAAGAGAGCATGAGAAAGCGATTGCTCCCTAGTCAGGAAGACAGAGAGAGCTGGCTGGGGCCAGACTAAGGCTTTTATAATCACTTCTGGGGAGAACCCATCTCTTAACGTTTCCATTTCCCAATATAGCCACTGAAGACCAAGCTTTCAACACATGAACCTCTGGTGGAATAAACAACATCTGAACCTCCGTAGCACACTATTAAGAGATCATTTTCGAAATAATGAAAGCCAGAGATCTTACTTTAAAAGAAAACACAAATCTTAGATAATTAGACTATAAAGCAACCAGACTTTTTTTTTTTTTTTTTTTTTTGGTACTGGGGATTGAACTCAGGGGCACTGGACCACTGAGCCACATCCCCAGCCCTCTTTTGTATTTTTTTTTTTTTTGAGACAGGGTGTCACTGAGTTGCTTAGTTCCTCATTTTTTCTGAGGTTGGCTCCTGTCTCGGCTTCCTGAGCCGCTGGGATTACAGGTGTGTGCCGCTGCACCCAGTGCAACTGGATTCTTTATGATTCAAAGTTTACCTGATTCTAGTGGCTCTGATGAAATCTTAGTGTCCCAAGATTTCACCCTTCACGTTGCCTGTGAGCCTTGACTTTTTCTTACAGATTGAATGTAAGTTATTTGTACTGCTTATTAGAGCTCATCTGCATGTCACAACCACATCCAGATCTCATTAGCTCCTCTCTGGAATGTTATTTCTCATTAAGCTCCAATTTATTCCTAAGATCTCTGTAGACTTACAAGGCTTAGAAAAGTGTGGTGAAATGATTTTCCTGTTCTAGTTTCATCAGAGTCTTTGAAGAAGAGATAGAAACTATGATTCACAGAACTTAGAAGTGTCACCTGGAGTATCATATAAGCATCTTGAGGGCTTCAGTCCATGGCCCATAGTTCAAAACCATGAACAAAGCCATCTCCTGATAAGAAGAGCCCACTACATTTGTAAAATTTGAGTGACATCCATATTTAGAAACCATGTTTTTTTAAAAAAATATTTTTTAGTTGTAGATGGACACAGTACCTTTATTTATTTTATTTTATTTATTATTTTATGTGGTGCTGAGAATCAAATTCAGTGCCTCATATGTGTCAGACAAGCACTCTACTACTGAGCCACAACCCCAGCCCACAACCACAGTTTTATGTGCAGCTTTTCTTATCAGTAAATTATTTAATATATTCTGTTATTTTCTAAAAAAATCATTTTTTTTTTAGTTGTAGGTGAGCACAATACCTTTATTCCATTTTTATGTATGTGGTGCTGAGGATCGAACCCAGTGCCCCATGCATAGTAGGAGAGCACTCTACCTCTGAGCCACAAACCCCGCCCTAATATATTCTGTTTTGATAATACATTCTGAAAGAACCTAAAATGTCATGAATAACTCACAAAACTTTGGAGCCAGCATTGTGAATCTTTACCATATTTGTTGCTATAAATAAACAGCAATGCACAGGTTTCCAATGCATTTGGAAAGTGGCACTGGAAAAATGTCCATGTACAGATCCTATTGGCGGGGGGACAGTCACCTTTGCTGCACTGAGCCTGCCTTCAATGGCTTTATTCACTTGAGCTAATTACAAAGGCATTTGTTTTTTCTACTCATCTTTGGGTCACCTGGCTACACTTGGGAAATATGAGAAGTTGCTGTCGTGGTATAGCAAATGCTGTTTCTAATGTCTACAATAGGTGTTCTTTACTTGGTGAAGCAAATGACCCATTGGCCTCGAATAAGGAAGCAATAGCTATGATTATAGAGGGGTAACACCTATATGTAGGGGCCAAAGAATTTCACGGATTTTAAAATGGCCTTCCTGTTTCCTAATCTTTTCATTTCCTGCTGTCTCTAACTCTTCATGTGATTGTCAGAAGGATTCTGAGAAGGAAGTTGATGAACCAGGTCTGGTGGCATTCATTAGTATCATATAACCTTTGAAAACTGTCTTTCAGAGATTGTTTTTATTTTGGGAGATGGATACAAAAACAAAATGCAACTTTCATTAAAGTATGTTATCTAATTGAAATAGAAATTTTTAGGGTGAGAAGGGATACGGTCTGATGAATTTTTCTTCTCTTCAGGAATTACCCTTGTGTGCCTGACCATTCCTGTTGCCTTCGGTATCTATGTGAATTATAGGTGGCCAAAACAATCAAAACTCATTCTCAAGGTAAGCAAGTGCACACACAGTTAGCACATTCTCAAATTCAGACACTTGAAAGATGGAGATGAATGGCAGGAACAAATGAGCTGATCGAACACAGCTCCACATTCTATAATTCAATTTTGCTTTTTTTTTTTTTTTTTTTTGCTACTGAGGATTGATCTCAGGAGCACTGTACCACTGAGCTACATCCCCAGAACTTTTAATTTTGAATCAGGGTCTCACTAAAGTTGCCCAGGCTGGACTCAAACTTGTGATACTCCTGCCTTTGAATCACTGGGATTACAGTCTTGCAACATCTTGCCTGGTGCAATTTCCTTATTAGTCCTGAGGTTTGAAATCCAGCTCTTGTATTTCTGTACTTTAAAAAAACCCTCTATGTATGTATGTGTGTATGTATGTGGTAGTGAGGATAGAACCCAGTGCCTCACATGTGCTAGGCAAGTGCTCTACTACTGAGCCACAACCTCAGCCCATTCTTATATTTCTTTAAGCCTTGCTCTGTTGCTCCCACAGGTCAAACCAAGTCTTGCAACATTTTGGAAAACATATGGGCCTCTTAGTGACAGAAAAGCTAAGGTCTAGATGTGCACAGAGAAAGTCCTAGACCTGCCCATCCACTAGGCTTTACACAGGTGTTTTCAAGGCAAAAGCTGTTCAAGTGTTCATGAAGTGGAGCCCCAGCTTTAGAAACATGGCTGGTTCTTGGAACAGTAGGATGAAGGACAGACTTGCAGAAGCATTCATGAGGACACCACTGACATGTGGTTTGTGCACATGAGCAAGGGCTGCAGACAGCATGAATAAGACTTTAATAAGTGAAATCACCCAGAAAGCATTGAGGAGCCCTCCCATGGAATGATAGTAACCAGAACTTACTACTACTGTTGTCTTTGCAGTGTTGCCTTTTGCCTGTTGGCGAAATGAGAAAGTGTCCTTGTTAAATGACTTTTAAAAATACCTAGCTAGTAGAGCATGGTAGCGCACAGCCTGTAATCCCAGTGGCTCTGGAGGCTGAGGCAGGAGGATCATGAGTTCAAAGCCAGCCTCAGCAAAAACAAGATGATACCCAACTCAGTGAGATCCTGTCTCTAAATAAAATACAAAATAGAGCTGGGATGTGGCTCAGTGGTTGAGTGCCCCTGAGTTCAATCCTTGGTACTCCAAAAAAAAAAAAAAGAAAGAAAGAAAAAAATAAAACCTAGCTAAAGAGAGGCATTCTTAATAATGAAATCACCATCCTAGAGTATTTTCCATTTTCCAAATTATGTATCATTTTAGAAGATATAAGAATGTCATGTCGGGCTGGAGTTGTAGCTCAATGGTAGAGCCCTTGTCTGGCATGTGTGAGGCCTGAGTTCAATCCCCAGAACTTAAAAAAATAAGAATGTAATGTGGCCAGGCATGTGGCAGTTCATGCCTGTAATCTCAGCTATCTGAGAGGCTGAGGCAGGAAGATCATAAGTGCAAAGCTAGTCTGGGCAAGTTAGGGTGTAGCTTACTGGCAGAGTGCTTGCCTAGTATGTGTAAGGACTTAGGTTCAATTCCCAGGCTGAAAAAAAAATAAAAGTAAAAAGAAGAAAGTACCATGTGCTGCTTTCATGAAGATTTTAAAAGTATTTTAGTTATATTTTACATTATCAACATATCACTTTATCACTTGGGATTAATCAGAGGTTTGTCAAGTATCAGTTAATTTAGTTTGAGGTTTATGGTTTGGTTTAGTTTAAGTTCCTGCTGTTGGCTCTACCTGACAAACGGATGCTGTTCCCTAATTTCATGTAAGACCAAACCATTTCTATGGTTCCTCAAAGAACATGAACAAGGGAAGAGGAGCCAACCAGCAGACCAGTCCAGTGGGTATAGACCACTGGAGGAAGAAGCCATGCGTTGGGATTGTGTAAGGCTGATTAACACTGGTAGCTTGCTTTCACTCCTTCAGCTGTAGTCATGAAACATAGTCCTTTCCCACATTTACTGTCATCGTTTCAACAGGAGAAAATTTCCAATGGTCAGTGTTTGTTTATGATTTTGTTTATAAAACAAGAGGAGTGAGTATGACTATGGAAACTTCTTACTTTTCAAGTACTCTATCTTGGATTACTTTTCTTAAAACAGCCCTTAACAGCAACAGAACAATCCTGATTCTTGTGTTTCCATAGCCTCTATTAGTCCATCAGTATCATTAGAAAAGCAAGATGTACTTTACATATGCCAGTTTTATTATCTGTAAAGAACAGGTTTAAAACGTTTCCCCTTGGCAATTCCATAGGATTTGTGGCAAAAAATATTTAATAATGTGTTTGAATAAATATCTGACAGGACCTTAGGTTAGTTTAATTATAAGTTTAGGATATCTTCATCTCTGTCCTTGGTCCTATTTTAATTTTAGATCTGACACATTTGCCAAATAACCTGTTTTTCTAATTTTGTCCTGGTGGATTTCAAACTTTGAAATCTCTTTTTGGTAAAATAATGAAGAAGGAATTTTCCAATCAGAGGCTTTCTTCGTGTCTTTTAGCATCTCCCTCTTAGGCAGTGGCTTGTGTGTCCCTGTGTCTGGACAGTAAAAACAACCCCAGAGCTCACCCATGATACACACAGCAGGGTGTTGTGTTTGTTCTTTGCTTTGGTTCTTCATGACTAAGGCATTACCCTGACTCCTTGTGAGTCAAGATTGATGCTGTCACTAGGAGCATCGTTTGCCATCCACTCAAGATGAGCTCGACCGGAGTCTGACTGTCCCTAAATACTCTAGGCCACACTTTCTTCCTGTCTTATCTAAGATTTGAACTATTAGAGTTTATTGGTTTTGTTGTTGTTAAAATTATTATTACTTTTGCTTTTGTTTATGTTAACAAAAATAAGAGACAGTAGGGCTGGGGATGTAGCTCAGTGACAGAGCACTTGACTGGCATGTGTGAGGTGCTGGGGTCCATTGCCAGCACACACCTCTTGACAAAAACGTCAGTACTTATGTGGGAGGGGATAGAGTATTTCTCCTATGACATTAATCTGAGCTCAGATTGTCTTGTGAGGAACGGTGCTATTTCATTTGTGAGACAGCAGGAGGAAGCTGTTGGTTGTTGAAAAGTGGGGTGGGAAGTGAGGTGAATGGCCAGGCAAGGTCAACCACAGACAGTAGGTTACCAGAGCAGGGAGGGTCTTATGTGTATGTGGGAGTATTGGATGCTGCTCTGGTCTGACCCCCTGAAACAGGCTTGGTCCAAACTATAGCACTCAACAGTATGAATGCCATCTGTTATGAGGCCCTCACTAGAGCCAAGCACATGTAAATGCCGTAGTCTTGAAACTCCAGGACTGTAAGCTAAAATGAATCTCTTTTCTTTACAAAGGATCCAGAGCCTTAGGTATTTTGTTATAGCATTTGAAAATGGACTAAGACAGAGCTCATTGTCCAAGTCTACTTATTTCATAATTTTGTCTAATCCATGGGAAAAAAACTATCATCAAATTCTTCTGGTCAGATCCTCCATTTGAATAGAAAAGATACTGGTCACTAAATAAAAAGACTGGGATTTATGTGAAACCCCAGCCATTTCTAAATTAGCTAAGTCACTAGAACACTTTGGAATTTGGGTTTTTCCACTGTACAGTTAAATGCTCTTATCCACAGTTTTGCTGTCAGTTCAGTTATCTGCAGTTAACTGCAGTGTAAAAACATTAGATGGAAAATTCCAGAAATAATCAATTCATATGTTTCAAATAGAGCACTGTTCTAGAGAGTGTGATTTGAAGTGTCCTTTGTCCATCGTATCCATGCTATGTTCACTGAGATGACACAGCATCCAGTTCAAGTTCTAAAGACATACAGGGAGCCTTTCCTGATGCCTTCAGGTCTACGGTCCTCCCTCTTGCATAGAAAGTGTTAGAAGGTCAATTGTCCTTATCACCCATGATTACCAGTCTGGACTTCCCCAGGACATCTCTTTTTGTCGTTTATATTATTGACTTACTATGCACCAGCTAGATATTTTTTGTTACTTTATGTACAGTCCATGGTCAGGAGAAACTCATTTGTTCTATTTTATTATTAGTTGTTGTTAATCTCCTCTTGTATCCAATTTATAAATTAAACTTTATTATAGGTATGTATATGTAGGAAAACCCAGAAAATACGGGATTTAGTATAATACGTCTGTGTTTTCAGGCATCTGCTGAGGGTCTTGGAACATATCTCCTGTGGATATGGAAGGCCTACTATGAAATGAAATTGCATTCAGTGCTCTCTAAGTTCCCTCTTTAAATTGCTAAATTTCAAGCCTTTTGAGAGCCTTGGTGGACTTTGCATCATACAGAAAACAAACAAACAGCCCATGATGTTTACCTGTACTTATTTTATTGGTTTGCTTTAGGTTGGGGCCGTGGTTGGTGGGGTCCTCCTTCTGGTGGTCACAGTTGCTGGTGTGGTGCTAGCGAAGGGATCATGGAATTCAGACACCACCCTTCTGACCATCAGTTTCATCTTTCCTCCGATCGGCCATGTCTCGGGCTTTCTGCTGGCACTCCTTACCCATCAGTCTTGGCAAAGGTACAGTTAACATTTTCCTTCACCTATTTTGAGGAAGGTAAATTAAATACGTTGCCACTGACAAGCCTGTCTTGCCTGGCTGCCTCAGGAGACAGGAAGAGCTTCAATGTACACGGCAGATGGGACTGGACAGTTCAGCCCAGAGACAGTGAAGAGATCATGGTGATTTTAAATGTTAACTGCAGCAAAGGCCAAATTGACAGGAAGTTGTAATTTGTAAAATTAGTATTCGGGTGTTAGTGCCATTTGTTGAGATCTGGGCACATTTCTCTTCATATTCAAATAATTAAATAGGAAGAATGAAGTCATTTCACTAAATGTAGAGATCACTTTAGGTCATGAACAAGTTTTAAGAGATTATATTCTTACCTGTTGTTTGTGCTAAATTTTTAAGAATTGCTAATTATGAGACACAAGAGGAGAAAGGACATAAACTGAGAAATAAGATAGGAATTTCACTTAAAAATTATATTACACTTTGATATATATGGTTTATAATATTATTGCAAATATTAAAAATGATAAACTTGCATGTCTCCATGCCTGCAATGAAATGCACAACATCATATAGTGATGGAGGGGAAGAAAACTGGAATAAATTCTCTGGAAGAAAAGTTAGTGTTATATCAACAACCTTATAAATATGCATAATTGTTAACTCCACAATTTTACTTTTAAAAATTTGTTCTGAAGCTAGCTCTATCAGATGTGCACATGAATACTGATATGCTAAGACATTAATTGCAGGATTATTTATAAAAATCAAAATGGAAGCAATTGAAATATCTAACAATAGGAGATACTTAATTCATGTTGCATCCATATGATGGATATGATGCATCAATTTTAATGAATTTGGAAAATACTCAAGAGATAAATTTTAGTTAAAAAGGAATAGAGGGCTGGGTATGTTACTCTGTGGTATCCTAGGTGCAATCCTCAATACTTCCCTGCAAAAAAGGATAGAAAATGATATTTATTTTGATTCCCATATTGTGAAAGAAAGCAAAAAGAATTTTATGCATGAAGAAAATATTGAAAAAAATGTACCATATGGTAATTTTGAGTAATGAGACTAAGAGTAATTATAGTTCTTAAATATTTTCTTGATTTATTTTCTAAGGTTTAAAAGTAAAGTTTGTTTACTTTGAAAATCAGAAAAAATTATTAAAGGAAAGCAAATTATAAAGTTGAATTCTGAAGGTAAGTGTTGGGAAATTTTTAGTTGGCTTTGTGCCAGTGTTCCACTGGGGAACTTTGAGCACTGGGAGAAGAATGGGCATGGCCCATTCACGAGGCATTGCATGGACAGCCAATCTGCATGGACAGGAGGGTTGGAGGAGATGAAAAGGAAAGTTGAGCTGTATGTGAAACAGTACAAATTAAATACTTAAAAACAAACAGGAAAACCCTAAATGAAAACCAGATGTTAAAATGGTTGTCTTAGGGGCTGTAGCTGTAGCTCAGTGGTACAGCACTTGCCTAGTATGGGTGACGCACTGGGTTCGGTCCTCAGCACCACATAAAGTAAATAAATAAATGAAATAAAGTTAAACAAATATATTTTTAAAAGTGGTTGTCTTAGGTGAAAAGGCTCAGTAATTTTTTTCTATCTTTTTAAAAAGATATTTATTTAGTTTTAGGGCACACACAGTATCTTTATTTATTTTTAATGTGATGTGTTGAGGATCAAACCCAGTACCTCACACACATGAGGCAAGCACTTTACCACTAAGCTACAGCCCCAGCCCCTTTTTTTATCCTTTTTCCACATCAAATGCCTCTTCCACTCTTTCCATTCTGTAGTGTCGTTCCTCTGTGAAGCCTTCTCTATACAATTCTGCAACTTTTTTCAATAGCTACAGCCTGTTCCAGGACCTTGATTTTGCTTTGTCATGTACGTCTACTGAACTTTTCCTCGTGTGTATCCGGTCTTTCCTTAGGGCAGGGTTCAAAAGGTCCTGCTCCACAGTGCCTCTTGGAAAACCACCCCACAGAGCAGGCACTCAGCAAACAGCTGTTGAATGAATAAACACTTCTAGTTGCTTGAGCTCATAGTTTATCAGTTTGCATAAGAGCAAATGTTAGAACGGTGCTTATTGGTAATACTTAACTCTTGAAATTTTTTGTCATTGCCAGGTGCAGGACAATTTCCTTGGAAACCGGAGCTCAGAATATTCAGATGTGCATCACCATGCTCCAGTTGTCTTTCACAGCCGAACACTTGGTTCAGATGTTTAACTTCCCGTTGGCCTATGGACTCTTCCAACTGGTGGATGGAGTTCTCATTGTTGCAGGTGAATGGACTTTCATTGGGTAGATTTGACTAAAAACCTAATTTACCAGCTCTTTTTTGGGATTCGAACTTGTATGTGCTGCCCCCTGAATTATATTTTTAGCAGGACATTTTGGGGGATAATAAGGTGCATAAACACAATACTTTGATACAGTGGAACTTTCACAGAAAAGTATTTTTAAAAACACCCAAATAGGAATTTATAATTAGAACCAAATATGTTTCATAAAAAACAAAGCACAATCAGCATTTAAATTCCAAGATTTATCAGGATAAGCTCTCCATGAACAATCATCGATCTCAAAAATGACATTGACTGAACATAAGCATTTATTTGTTATGTCTTATTAGGGGCCTTGAGGTTTCCCAAATGCCAAGTTACTTCAATGTTTCTGTGACTATGATTTATGCCAAATGGTTGTGGAATTTTTTCAAATATAAAACATAATACATATATAAGCATATTCACAAATATTAAAAATTTATACACATGCATACTACACACACCGTTTACCTCTCTATACAGCTAAAAGCATGTTATTTTGGAGTTGATTTAAGTTTAAAAACATTTAAATACATACACATATATATATTTTGATCTTGGGCCATTATAAATTTTCACTGTTCTCAGGGAACGGGTTCTAAGTAAGAATCAATGATTATGGGTATAATTGATTATATACTGATTACTGATAATAAATATACCAATGCTAGCAGAATAAAACTCCTGGTCTGAGATCAAAGTTTTGGGGAAGAATTATGACTGGCTCATCCCCAGATACATCCTAGCAAGTGTGTGACTCAGTAAGCCCTCCACTGACCAACTGACTTATGGACTGAATGACTGAATGACCAAGCTTTCTGCAGTCTGAAGAAAGAACCATTATGACACACTGAATTGTTTCATTCCATGGTTTCCCTCTCCCCCTCTTTTCCCAATGTATTTATACCTAAATGATGCAAAGCAAACTCCCCAAGTATAGAATAATGACACAGTGTCCCCGGATTATACCCTTTGCTAAAGTGGTGTTTAATAATCATATGTTTAATCACCTAGCATATCAAATATACAAGAGGAGACTGAAGAACAGACCCAGAAAAAGGAACCCAGATTGTGCAGAAGTGTGCCATGACAAAAAATGCAGAGAGGCCAGTGCTTTCTTGGAGGTGCATGAAGAAGCTGCTGGAACCCCTGAGCCATCAGGACCAATGGATCGCCACAGGGCTCTGGAGCCTACTGGCCACATCACTTCATGTGAATAGTAGGGACTTGCTGGCCAGAGTGGTCCTCTGTCTTCCTCAGTGATGGGTAAAGACAGGGCCACACCGATGCAATCTCCTTGGTTGGCAGGACCTGTGTGAATAGTTAAGTGTCAGATGTTAGAATACTTATATTTTTGTGTGGATTGTGCAATGTCATAGGATCACTTTTTGAGAGTGTATTCTGCCCATTTCAGGGAGTTTTGGGGGGGTTTACACTGTTTTTTTCCTAGCTGCAGTGTGTGTTCTTGTTGTCCCATGAGGTGAATAGTGCCACCTGGCAGGAGGTAATGCCCTTTATTATGTAAAGTTGTCTCTTGTTTGGATTTTAATCTAATGACAGCTAGGACTCTGCCAGGCAAGGTAGGGTCTGGATCCACATAACTTCCTGACTTTGGGCAGGTCCTTGGGGAGTACAAGGGAGGACACAGTTGTAAAAAATGGGGCCCTTTTCTAAATGATTATTTCTTAAGAGCTTGAATACCTTTTTGATTATAGATGTAATACAGGCTTAGAGGGAATTTCAAGTAAACAGGAGGTTAAAAAATGTATGAATTCCTCATATTTTCACTCCCTAGAGATAGATATATGTCTTTCTAATCTTCATGTACATTCACTGAGTCATTCAAAAAATGTTCAATATATTCCGTCTTGAAAGTCATTTGATGACATATGATAGAACATCTCTACACTTCAGTTTGTGTTAACCTACCTCATTCTTTAGAACAGTGGCTGCATAGATATATTGCATTGCATAGAAGGACTATAATTTATTTAACCCATCTTTATAACTTTCAATTTATTTGGTATTGCAGTGCTGCTACACTACCCTTGTCTATGTGCATGCATTTCAGGAGACTCCATTCCTATGATTGGAATGGGCAGGCCCATTGCCCATAGAAATATTGGACAGATTGCTCTTTGGCAATGTGGCACAGCAGTCCCGAGAGGGTCCAGTTTCCCATGGTTTCACTAGTCTAAGGAAGATTTTTTTTCTTTTTCTTTTTGGTACTCAGGTTTGAATCCAGGGTGTTCTGCCACTCAGATACATCCTCAGCTATTTTATTTCTTATTTTGAGACAGGATCTCATTAAGTTGCCAAGGCTGGCTTCAAACTTGTACTCCAAAGAGTTTTGGTCACTTTGACTTGTGAAAACATCTCTTTAAAATTACATATTCAAAACTACAAGCAAAGTAGAGCATTTTCCATGATCATGTGCCCATTCATGCCCTTTGCCTGCTTTTCTGTTATATTTTTTCATGGTTGATTTATAGATTTTAACATGATAGTTACTATGTATATGTTCCATGTATTATCAACGTTTTACCTATTATGTATATTATCTCATTTTTACAAAGTGTCTCTTGTTGTACAATTTTGTATTTTTTACACATTCAGTTTTAGAAATCTTTTAAAAAAGTTTTAAGCTGGGCCCAGTGGCACACGAGTTAATCCAAGCTACTTGGGAGGCTGAAGTAGGAAGATCAAAAGTTCAAGGAAACTTAACGAGACCCTGTCTCAAATAAAATAAAATTTAAAAAGGGCTGGAGATGTAGCACTTGCATAGCCACATGCAAGGCCCTGGATTCCATCCCCATCAATGCACAAAAATAAAATTAAAAAAAAATAAAGTTCAGATACTTCTGGATTCAGGAAGATTTTAAAATATTGACACAAGTTTTGAGGATATAACTCAGTGGTACAGCACTTGCCTAGTATGCACGAAGCCGTAGGTTCAATTCTCAGCACTGCCAAAAAAAAAAAAAAAACTCCTCAAAACAGGACACAGTGTTAGGTACTAAGGAATGGTGGAAACTGAGGCAGACATGGAAAGATACACACTTCCACTGTGCATGTTTTCTTTGTCCTTATTAACAGGACTGAGATTTTGTTCAGTATTGCAAAATGCCTAGCTAAAAGTATTTTTTTTTCTTGAAGTTAGAGGTATGCATGTGACAAAATTCTTGCTGATAAGATTGAAGCAGAAGTCTGCTTATGGTTCCTGGGGAGTCTTGCTTTCTTGCCCTAGGCACCGACAGACCCTTTCTCCTTGTCAGTTCCTATTTCCTTTTGGATCATAGATGTAATAGCAGAGTTGCCCCAGCAATTCTAGATGATGAAGGAAAGATCAGGATAATTATAGAACTTGTGACTTTTTTTTTTTTCCTTTTCATTCCTAGAGATTGAACTCTGAAGGTTTTATGCATGCTAGGCAAGTGCTCTTTCACTGAGCTATACTCCCAACCCTTTTAAATTTTGAGTGTCTTGCTAGGTTGCTTGGACAGCCTCTAACTTGTGTTCCTCTGCCTCATCCTCCTGAGTAGCTGGGATTACAGGCATGTGCCTCAGTGCCTGGCAAGCTGTTGACATTCTTGAGCTATAGAATCAATCCTAGCCACAGACAACTTCTGAAATTGTTTCCTTAAGGAAAGGAAATAAATCTTTCATTTGTGTAAGCACATTTGGTTGTTTTTTTGATACTTGCACTCAAACACATTCCCAAACCACTGTATTAAAATTTTGTTGGTTTTAAAATTTTATGTGGCTAGCCTATAATTTGTCACATTTATCTGCACCATGACAAGGTATCTTGAATATTTCTAAATTAAGGAAAATAGGAACCTTTTCTTTCATTATCAACAAGCATAACCTTGGTAAGCTGTTCTTTTAATTTCTTGGATTTATCACATTACATTTCAATAGCTAGTTATTTTTAAACGAAGAGATCTGGCAGGCTGCTCTGAAGCCACAGATTTAAAAAAAGTCTGATCTCTTCTCAACACACATTTTTTTCTCCTGTTTATCATAACAATTCAGAAACATCTATACTAATGACATGTACCATAGTTTTGATTTTGAGATAAAATTATGTTTTTAATTCTCTAGTGTTCAGGATTATACTAAGATACCATTTGTTTTTTAATTAACACATGTTCCTTGTACATATTAATGGGATTTAATGTTACATCTCCATACAAGCATACAGCATGCCCTGATCATATCCATCCACCCTTGCCCTCAACCCCCTTTCCCAGTCCTTAGTAAGTACCATTCTTTAAGGCGGACCTTTTTTTTTTTTTCCTTTCTTTTTTGTTTTCACATACGAGGGAAATTGCAGTACTGTTTTTTGTGTCTGGTTTTTTGTTTTGTTTTTGCTTAACAGCATGTTCTCTAGTTCCATCCATTTTGTTGCAAATGACAGGATTTCACTTTTCTTTGTAGTTGAATAATACTCTCATGTGTATAATACCATATACTTTTTTTTATTCATCCATCAGTTGATGGGGCACCAAAGCTATTGTGAATACTGCTGCAATAGATATGGTCATGCAGGTGTCCCTTTGTATGTAGATTTTATTTTCTTTGGACACCTACCCAGGATTAGGATACCTAGATCATATGATCATATGCTAGTGTTTAGTGTTTTTGTGAAACCTCTATGATTTTCCTCATGGTGACTAAACAAATTTACAGTCCACCAACAGTTTATCAGTGTTTGTTTTCTTTACATCTTATCCAGCATTTGTTATTTTAGAATATATTTTGGTTCACTTTTATACATCTTCTATTAAGACTTGTACTTTCCCTTCTCTAGCACTGAGTTGTCACAGGGAAACAGCTGTTCGGCCAACTACACTTTCCAGCTTCCTGGTACTTGGGGGCTGTCAATCAGCCAGTTCTTGCTGATGGAACGAGTGTCAGTGATGTGCTTCACTTCCAGTCCTGGCCTGCCTAATAGAAACCTCTCCACATGTGCTCTTTTTTCTTCTGGCTGTAGGAACGGAGATTCACAGGATGACCTTGGAAGCACATTTGTTAATCATAGAACTTCCATCAGCCTGAGTTCTTAAAAATGGAGGAAGGAGAGCTGCCCTGTTGGGTCGTTTGCATGCCCAGATTTGTTATATAAACTAGAAATAAACTATTATGCTTGATCCACTAAGTTTTTGATTTATGTTTTATAATACTTAGCTAATACAAGGTCTGTGAGGAGCTAGGCTGTGTTTATACATTAATGTGATATTTGAGTTTTTTCTGTGCCTGGGCTCTGTGGCCTCTTCTTTCTAAACAGAGTGGTCTTAGCAAGTGACTCATACCATTCCATGGTGGTGGAGCCAGATCCCACGATGCAGGCAGTAATGGGTTTATTATAATCAAGTTTCCACTCAGGGGTCATAAACCTAAACCCATTTTTTTTTTCTCAGTTTCCATTTCCTGGTTACATTCTTTCCAGAGAAAGTATCTTCCAGCTTTGCCCTCTCCCATCTGTGCTGACTTCTGATGGTAGCTAATTGCCCTCAGCTGTACTGGCTCTTGGAGCTTTGCCTTGTGGCTCCACATGCCCAGGAAAACAAGGCCTCAGGATTCCAACTCGGAACAGAGATTTCCAAATGTTTTTAAAGTAACAGAAATCTTTTTTTTTTCTTTTCCCAAATGATAATTTTGTTTATAATTAAAGTTTATAAAAGAAGTCTTCTGATTCAAGTGGGAATGGTGGTGGTGAAGCTTCTCTTGCCAGATTCAGATCCCATTCTGAGTAGGAGCCAAACCTGTTACTTGGCAAGGGAGTCACCAGGAAGCTTTATTTATTTACTGATACCGTCTTCTGCCTTCAAATAGCCTCAGCTCCTTAGGAACAGGTCCCAGTAAATCACTGCACTTGGTTAGGATCACAAATTCAAATCAATTAGCTCCAAATTGATATAATCTTATGATGAACCAGGGAGTGTTCTGGGTCTTGGAGTGGTGTCAGGGCTGAACGGAAGGAGACAGAATTCAGATTTAGCAAAACAAGTTCAATATTGAGAATCACAGAACCGTAAACTAAAGCAGGCATTCGGAGGCTGATCTGTTTTCCTTCCTATTTGGCAAAACCAAATATAAACCTCTCTGGCAGTACAACATTGGTTTCCTTGATTACTCCTTTTGGTTAACTGACTATTCTAAGTATTACTTCAAACCGGTCTTAAAATACTCTGATTTATGTATCAACTAAGTGTAGAAAGTGGGCACCACTTACAGGGAGGTAGAAGTTTCTTCTACTTAGCTTCTGTTAAGCCAGACATGACCTTCATGACAGTGCTTAATCTACAGGATGATGACAAACTCCCATTCTCTGTTGCCTGGACTGACTGGGACCAGCTGGGGAGATGGGAAGTTGGGGTCCAGAGGTCACTGGCTTCCCAGAGGACTGTGTGTTGTGATAAAAAAACTGAAAGTGTCTGTCTGCACAGTTTTGGCTATGTTTTAAGGTGTATTTTTATTTACAAAGTGAGAATGATACATTACAAACAGATGACACAGTTACAAACATCTGATAAATTCATTTTCATGAAAAGTATATAAATATATTACAGGAAATTCTATATAGTAAACATTAGAAATTGACATGGTAAACAATTGCTACCTTTTTTCTATGCCAATATTACTGTCATTTAAAGCTTAAATACTGGTTTCAAGTATCCTCTATAAAATACCTCTACTTTATTAAAATACTGGAAAAATTTTTTTGCTATAAACAAGATTGGTACATTAAAAATAGACTCAGTGTATCCTGTAACAATGTCCACTATAATCAAGTGCTGCCTCTAGCCTTTAGACCTGAATTGTTCAGTTAGTGTTAAACATTTTTTAATAATTGTCATTGGTTATGGTAGCTGTAAAAATACAGCATTTCAACACTATTTATTGTTATAAAGAATGCCCCTCCAAGGTAGAAGAGAATAAGCATAATATTGCATGGCCTTGCTGCTCTATAACTCAAATTATTTTAAATAGAGAGCAGGAGTTTGTTGGAGGTTCAGGAGAGATACGGAGACATCCAGAAGGCTGCTCTTTCCATATTATTTAGAAAGCTGAGGCTGGTCTTTTTGCTCTTCTTCAGCCTGAAGACGTGTCAAGACATAGAGGATGACTTGATAGCAGAAAATATATTGATCCTATAGCCAACAAAACAAAATAACAGCGATGAATACACAGAGAACTTTCAATGTGTCACGAATATCATACTCAGCTACACCCTTAATAGAAGCAATGTTTGAGGAGTTTAGAAAATATGGAAAATTTTTGTTTAAATGCTAAATGTCAGAAACATTAAAAAGCAGCCTACAGAATTGTGTAGTATCAGAAAAATTATAAAAAAACAGAAACCGGATTGACAATATGAGGGGTAAAGCCTGGGAGTTGGAGGTGGTGGTATTTAGAGAACTAAGTGAAGTTGTCTCCGATTGGCAGCCATTTCTATTTTTGTGCTTTGATAATATTTCACGAAAATTAATTTCCTTCATAATTTCTGCTAGATTTATTGAACTCACCTCGATGTTTCAAAATACCAAAAAATTAATATAAAGAAGCTATTAAAATGATTTCCTTTAAATAATTTAGAACAAAAGAATATACAAAGAGAAATCAAAGTTTGGGGAAATATAATTGATATTTACATATTCTTTAAATATGAAATCTTTTCTTTCAATATTTTAGAACAAAAGAATATGAAAATCAAAGATTTTTGAAAATGAATCCTTGTGGTTCTCAAAATTATTCTCTATAAGTTGATGGTATTGGTATCTGAGGTTTCTTTTTTTGTTGTTGTTATTTTTTTGTTGTTATTAGCAACTCTCTGCAAGTAGGATTATGAGTAGCCTTTTAATTTTCTTGGTGCTCACCTGTATTTTAGCTTTTCTGCATTTTCCACATCATCTCTCTTTCTCTTACATTGCCTACAACTCTTTGGCAAATACACTTCACATAATGTCCTCCTCTGTCCACACCCACCACTCTGGCTACAGGCCTATGATAACTCCCATGTACTCAGAGGAAAGCCCAAGATCTGGCTCCTATCACTTCTTCTCTAACTTCACATTCTCCCACTCTCCTCTGTGCTCTGGTAATGACCGTTCTTGAACCTGTACTTACTTGTGGTCCACTCCCACTTAGACTTCCATGGAGGCATTGGACTCTGCCCGAAGGCTCCCCCAAATAGCTTCATGACATCTTCCTTCAAATCTCTGCTTAAGTGTTACCTTCCCAATGGTAACACTATTTAAAATTTTATCCACAATCTGCCATGACTGATTCCCTTTACCTACTCTTCTTTTTTCTGAAGAGTACTTTCTTAGATCCTATATAATTCATTGTACATATTTAACATATTTATGGTCTGCCATCCTTACGGCAAATCCTGCTAGAATTCCTCTGTTACTCTAGCAGGATCTGACTAAGTTGGTATGATTGTTTGAACTCAGGAATCCCAGGCCAGCCTGGACAACACTTAGCCCATTAAAAAAAAAAAAAAAAAAAAATTTTAATAAGAACTTTTTAAACTATTAGAATCTTTATAAATTCCTTCTTCAAATAGGCCTAGACTTACCTCTGTCTGAACCATTCCATGTCTTTGTAGTCTCATGCAGCGCACTAAATCAGAAATGTCAAACTGCCCAAGAAAATAGAATGTACTTGTTAGATAAAAAGGGAAAAAACCAAATCCCCAGCCCTATTTTATATTTTATTTAGAGACAGGGTCTCACTAAATTGCTTAGCCTCTCACTTTTCTGAGGCTGGCTTTGAACTCTCGATCTTCCTGCCTCAGCCTTTGGAGATTACAGGTGTGCACCACCGTGCCTGGGCCCCCTTCTTCACTTTCTAGTAGTTTTGGGAAATTGTCTTAGACAAAATGACTTAGAGAACTGACTTGTCATCAGTTGGTATTCTTATTTATGATCTAAGAATTAGGGTAGGTTATTATCCTAACTAAAAATCTGTAACAAAAATTCTCTTTCCTAAAATTTGGCTAATTTCTTATAATTAAAAAATAAAAACTACTTTCCTTAGATATTGCATTTCTGAATAAAATTCTATATCTTTTGATTTTAGCTGACATTTAACAGTTTGAAAAAAGAACGAAACAGACTATTTAGTTTTGTTCTACATAAATTATTATAGTTGATATTTTAAGAGTATATAAAGTACAAAACAACTACTTTTAACAAATCTTTAAAAGACAATTATTGGCTTGGGAGGCTGAGGCAGGAGAAGTGCGAGTCCAAAGCAAGCCTCAGTAATTTAGTGAGACACCCTATCTTTAAATAAAATATAAAAAAGGGTGTAGATATGGCTCAGTGGTTAAGTGCGTCCCTAAGTTCAAACCCTGGTACCAAAAAAAGAAAAGAAAAAGACAATTATATTAATTACATATTCTAGTTTCTGTCATTTTTACATAGATTTATACTAATTAGATCTAAAAGTAAGATTATACCATATTTGCTTGGGTTATATTTAGTAATAATTTTTTAAATTGGGAGTAACTGTTTAGAAAGACAATTTAGCATTAATTTGTATAACAAAATGTACATTTCTTATACATTTTCTTTTGTACAATATTTTTTAAAAAATATTTTTAGTTGTAGATGGAGACAATACCTTTATTTATTTATGTTTATGTAGTACTGAGAATCAAACCCAGTGTCTCACAGATGCTAGGCAAGCACTCTACCATGGAGCTACAACCTCAGCCCTATACATCAATATTTCTATCCCCAAAGTGTGATGAAAATTCTGACTTTAATCTTATACAGGCATAAAGAGTATAAAGGATAAAAATGCAACACTGCATATGGGGCTTTTGAGCACACTATTAAAATACACATTATTTTTTTAAAAATATTTTTTAGTTCTCAATGGACATTTATTTATTTATGGTGCTGAGAATTGAACCCAGTGTCTCACACATGCTAGGCAAGTGCTCTACCACTGAGTCACAACCCCAGCCCTAAAATACACATTATTAAACAGAGTCCAGAATAATTTCTGATCATAGGCAGATTCAGAATATATCTTGTACTCACCTCGAGATCTTGACTGATTAATCCCAGAACCACATCTATGCATATCAGGGTCCCTGAACGTCCAATGCCAGCACTGCAGTGTGTAATGATTGGGCCTGAC